GCCTTCAAGCATACCTACAAAGATGATTTAATAAGATTTAGGTACCCAAGTCTTTTTGGGTCCTTGAGTGTTAGGTGCAAAGTGGTAGTGTGATTCATTTTGTGCCCAATGCCTATGCCTAGTAAAGCAAACGGGAGCTATATGTCCTACCCTATTGCAATAGTGACAAACTACGTTTGGGTTATGCATTCTCCTAGGTTGATAGTAATTGTTAGGGGGCCTAACCATATTCATCCTGTTTTGAGAAAACCTTGGTTTTTGAAAATTTTCCCTTCTAGGTGTTCTAGAATTATTTTGTCTATTTGAAAAATTATTTTTATGCATAGAATCATGTTGATAATTTTTCCTAGGTTGTCTATCATGCGCATTTTCATTCCTAGGTTTTTGTCTAGGTTGTCTAGTGTCCCTAGGTTGACTAGGTTTTCTATTATCCTGATTTTTAACTTTCTTATGTTGAGCCTTAGGAGGTTTTCTAGGTGTTTGCTCAACATTTTTATTCTTAGATTCATTTTTGTCAAAACCTATTCCTTCCTTAGAAAAATGCATAGTGTCAAGAAGTAAATTAAGATCTTTGTGTGGTGTATTAAACTTCTTAACCGTACTCTCAAGTTTTGCAACTTTTTCTTTTAAAGTTTTGCAAGATTCACATTCACTTGAAGAGCTTTTTGGTTTGTCAACACTTCTCTTACCATAAAATTTATTTTCTTGTTTCAACCTTTCATTATCTTTTTCCAATTTGTCAAAATCATTTTCAAGAGTTGAAAGACGTTTCTTTAAAGATTTGTTGGTTTTAGAAGCGCTAACAAATTCATCATAAAGCTCGTGAAGTGCTTCTTGCATTTCTTCAAAAGTATAAGAGTCGTAAGAAATGGTACATACCTCTTGAACGTCGTCGGTCTGATCTTCGTGTGCCATGAGGCAGAGGTTGGCGGCTTCCTCCTCTTCCTGATCCGTTGACTCATCCCCGGAGTCGCCTCCCCAAGAGATGTACGCCCGTTGCTTTTTGAAGCCAGGTTTGTCCTTGCCGCCTTTGCTTTTTGGACACCTCGGCTTGATGTGGCCTATCTCGCCACAGCCATAGCACTTAGAGGGCCCGTCGTGCTTTCTTCCTTTTCTTTTAAATTCTTTCTTCATGAATTTGTGGAACTTCTTGATGACGAGTCCGAACTCGTTGTCATCATCGATTGAGTCATCTTCCACGGACTCCTTGGTTGCTTTCAGCGCTATACCTTTCTTCTTTTGTTCATCCAAAGACGGGGTTAGGATAGTAGATTCATAAGTTTTGAGATTACCTCTTAGCCCGTCGATGGTGACATTTGAGACTCCGATGGATTCATAAATTGCATCTGCCTTTGATCTCCATTCGGGTGTGAGGCTTCGCAGGATTTTCCTCACGAGATCCCTGTTGGTGTACGTCTTCTTGAGAGCGTGAAGGTCGTTGATGATTTTTGAAAACCGATCGAACATGTCATCGATCTTTTCTCCTTCCTTCATCCTGAACATCTCGTACTCCTGCGTTAGGAAGTCAATTTTGGCTTCCCGAACTTGGTCCGTACCTTCATATGTGACCTCTAGCTTGTCCCACATTTCTTTGGCAGTGGTGCAGCAAGAAATCTTACGATAATCATCAGGATTGACGGCACAGTA